ATGTGTGCCTATAATTCCAGCACTCAGGTGGCTGAGACAGGAGGGTTGCCAGGAGTTCAGAGGCAGTCTGAACTACGTAATGGGTTCAAGGTACATATCAGGACCCTGTCTCAAAACACCAAAATCAAAAAGCAATAAGATGTAGATGATTAGGGCCAGCCAGATAGCTCAGCAGACTAAAGTGCCTGCTTAGGCAGGTGCATGGACCAGAGTTCAATCTGGTGTGCTGCGCTGGCCCTGGCCCCCAGGCATGCTGAGACAGTGAATGAGACTGGGTATAGTGGCGCACGCCTGTAATCCCAGTGTTTGGGAAGCTGAAAACAGGAGGATCACTGTGAGTCCGATCTGTATAGTGAGATCCTGTAGACCCTGTACTAAATACATTTTTTAAAAAAGATGTAGATGATTATCCAAACTTATGAGGCTTTTAGTAAATGTTATATAATTTTGTAAATGTTATATTTAAAAGAAATAAAATTGTCTGATGTGGTGACACCTGCCTATAATCCTAATACTCTCAGAGCCTGAGTCAGGAGTATTGCAAGCCTGAGCCCAGCCTAGGCAACTTAGCAAGACCTTGTCTCAAAATAAAAATAAAGAGGCTGGGGATGTAACTCAGTCCAAAGGTCCTGGGCCCAATCTCCTGTACATATATCCACATCCATATCCATCCATCTGTCCATCCACCCGTCCAAAAAGTTATAATAAATGATTAATATCAGGGAACATCAGCAGATGTTCCTTTTAGGGAGATAGTTAATGCTTCCTTATTCCCAGAAGATAGGAAGGGAGATAGGGAAGTCTTCCAAACAGAATCTACCTAACGTAGATCCATCTTCTCCAACACAACTTGAACTCCAGCCTAACCAAGTTATGCCCAGGGCTATGGAAATACAACATATGTAGCGCCACAAAAATTTTCAGTGAATTTCTTTTTTTTGTCTTTCTAAGACAAGGTCTCACTGTGCAGTGTAGGCTGGCCTTGAGCTCACTTTGTAGCCCAGGCTGGTCTTGAACTTGCAACAGTCCTCCTGCTTCAGCCTCCTAAGCACTAGGATTACAGCTGTGTGCCACCACACCCAGCTATTAAATGAATTTTAAAGGAAATTTGAACCTATAAATTTTAGCATCGGGCTGGGGAGATGGCTCAGTGGAATAAGCGCTTGCCTGGCAAGCGCAAGGGCCTGAGTTCAATCCCCGGTTCCACAAAAAAAAAAAAAAA